AAATTGAGTGAGTAGGGACATGCTGGGCCTTATCCTGCTCTTCATTCCTCTCACACTGATGTTTCTAAATGTCATATCAAGAAGTGATAAATAAGAGTTGCACAAAGCTTTTTTAAAATGGAATGGAAAACAGTTAGTCTTGCAGTCTCCAATGCATGATTTATTGTAATAGCTGTTCTTTCATGTATTCACTTTTGTTTACTTCTCCTGACTCCTGTGCTCTCCTTCACCTTTGTCTGGGTTCCTGAAAGTATTCCCAGGCATCAGCAGCAAGGAGGAATGAGGTGCTGTCTGTCCTACAGCAGACCTGAAGCCTTTACAGATCAGTGCAGCAAACACATCTCAGGTTCACATCTCACTAACCACTCAAAGCAACTTTTTCCTGTGGTGCTTTAAGTAGTAATAGGCTTGTACAGATATGAGCTAAAAAAACCCCAGGAGTTGTAGCACCAAGTCTATCCATTTGTTAACACAAGGCTGTCTRTTACTGAGAATATGCAGTAAATTATTCCTGAAGCTGAGATTAGAAATTCAGAGAGCTCTTGCTCCAGGCTTTTCTATGCTCTGCACCTTCAAGTATGGATTTCTTCATTTCATGGAGACTGAGCAGTTCATTCTCATACCTYTTTTGCCCTCCTCAGCTGCCCCAAGCATGCTTGCTTTCCCCCCTCAAGAAAATGACCTAGTTTCTCTGGTTTACCCTGATGTGTTTACTTTGCTACAGTTCAGCACCACACATACACAKCCACTCTCCACATTTCACCTCAGGGTAACAAATGACCTCTTATGAGAAGTTAGCTTGATCACCTATGTTTTTGCATTAGTTTTGTGCACTATCCTTCCTGYCTAAAATTATGCAGTCCAGTAAAACAACAACAACAAAATAATTTATAATTGTGAATGATTCAGGCTTGAGAGCAGGGAGAAGGAAGAGAGAGAGAGACATTTAAATGCTAAAAGGGGAATAGAGGTAAGAGAGACCTCACATTAAGGGAATCCCCAGCATGGAAGATGCAATTTTTCATGCCCTAAGCTCTGTGGCTTAGGACACAACACACAGAGCAGCTCAGAGCACCCAGTGGCACTCAAGGAGCAAGTGCCCATCTGCTCAGAATGAATGTGTGCTCCAGGCTTGCTATGATTTTGCTAAGCACTAAGACACACAAATAAACAAAAATCAACTTGCTTTTACAATAAAATAATCAGTCACAAGKGTAAAAATTGCTCCTAAATACGTCTTGTGAAGCACTCTTTAAAAAACACTGCACAGGGATCACTTTTGACCGAAATGGAAAGGGTAAAGACCATGGGTGCATTCTTTCTCACTTGGTGAATGTGGTTAAAAACATCTCTTTCACGACTGTATAGCCTCTAACAGTTCAGGGATGGTTAGCCACAAATGCTGTAAAAATAATCTGATCTTGAAATAGCAACCTTTCTTTTTTTTTCTCCCCATGTCCTCCTGGTCTATASCAGGTTTGCCTCTCAACTGGTGCATATCACCATACCTGTGCKAATACCAAAAACGCACCATTTTCACCCATCTGAAGATCTCAYTCCTCTCTGCTGTCCCAAAAAAACAGATCCATGGTCTCTGTAGAAAGTAATATTATTTTATACAGACACAGAGGTAGGCGTCCTGCCCCCACTAGTTCATATTTAACTCTCTTTTCATCTTGTTTATTTTGTCTTCATGGTATCAAAGMAAGCTGCACACCCAGCAACAAGCTTGCAGCAAATAAGTGCATCTTGTTTTTAGTGGATTGCCCTTCACAGGGCACACAGAASGCTCCCAAGGGATTTATGAAGGGGGTCAGGTCAAAGTCTCCATAATTTGAATTTTTATTTGCGTGTTGGAAGAATTATGCTTGAGCATGTCTTTTTCAGTGCAGTTTGAGCAGATGCAAGGATTCAAAGGTAGAATAGGAAGATGCAGTGTGTGGTGGCCACTCAGTTTTTTTGGCTCTCTGCTTCCCCCCAAGACACAAAGAGCTCTGCGTGCCCTTTCCCCCCACTCCAAAASACCCAGACAGAGGTGAAGGGGGCAACAACCTGTGTGTCCTGCCCTCTACAATAACTGAGGCTAGAGGCTTCTGCTTGCCAGACTCTGAAATGGGCCAGGTGGCTCTTCTCACTTTGAGGGAAAGCGATGCCATGAAGCCTCAACACTGAGCTAGCACTCAAGAAAAACCTACAAAATCCTTTAGCAAGCAGATGAGGATGGTCCTGGAAGTAAACAAAAAAAAGATGCCAACCAATAACTCTCTGGTCTCTAAGGACACTTGCCTGKAAGTGCCATCTTCACAGGGTATTCAGGCTGTGGTGGAGAGAGGCAGAGAGATCTCCCGAGACAGCTCTGAAACAAATTCAGCCAGACACGACAGAGACACTGACAAGATGGTCAGTCAGACCTGCCTCCCCTCTGAGCCATTACTGGCCACCTTGCTGCATTACTGGCCACCTTGCCCCATTACTGGCCCTTACCAGGTCTCCATGCATTGTGGTTTTGACTGGTGTGCCGAAAAGCTGGAATTGTGCCTGTCATTTACAGCACCTTTTCTCAGATGGCTCTCACATGTCTTTATATAAACTTTGGTAAATGAGTATATAAATCACTCTGTCCACCACCAAAGTACAATCATCTCTGGGATGATACACAGCAGCTGCTGTAAAATCAGACTGCAGCTCCACACTGCAGATTAGGGTGATAAAACATGCTGCACCAGGCAACTGAAATGGCTGGAGGATGGAAGAGGGACACGGTGGAGGGCATTTTGTAGTTATAATTACCTGAGTATAAATTTGGCTGAAGAGGGTACTGTGTTTAATACTTGCATCTCTGCAAATCAAGCCAGTCTTCCAGCACATGACAAAACAACCTGACTGTACCATTCCCCCTGTTTTGGCCTCCTAAAGCCCTTCCCTTCTGAAAATTGCAGGGCACCTTGATATGAGCAAAACCGATGTGCTGAGTACAAGCAATAAACTAATCGAATTTCTTAGCAACTGACTCGATAACTAACTGAGAGCCTGTAGCTTCTGTGTCCCCTCCCTTCCTCTSTCTTGCATGACAACTGAACACAGCATCTATATATACCCAGCTCGAAAATAGCTTCTGCTCCCGTAACTTGCAAACCGTTCACATAGATCTCATTTTCCAGGCTAAAAGTAGTTAATTACAGTCACTGAGGGGACTGAACTGCTGCACCCTTTTCCTTATTCTGGGATGGGCTCCTTGAGCAGTGTATTAACCCCTCCCACCCCTCTGCCAAATCATGAACTGGTYATAAAAGGAAATCTTTTGAAGGATGGGACTGCACAGATCAGATCTACGAATTTCCTGTTATCAGGGGCTGCAGATGAATTGTTATCCTTCTCCTCTCTCTCTCTTTCCTTGGCCATACAGCCATATATGCATCATCTAAAACTAAACCTGACAACTCCTAAAGTGCAGGGAAGTTATTTGAAAGATACTTCCAATCAATACATGACATGAGACAGCACTTTGAGTTGGGACACCACACAGGCTTCGTACAGAGCTGACCTGCAGAAATTCATTTGAGTGCCATCCCTCTATATTAACTTCTCTGCCACAAATGTCCCTGGCTTCGTAATCCCTCCCACACAGTGCAAAAGCTAAAATTATTTGCAAAATATTCACAGAGAACCAAGAGAGTCAAGAATTAAGCATTTGAATTTGATGATTATTATTGAAATGTTACTACTAGWGAGTGGCAGCTCAGTCAGACCATGGACAAGCCAGAGTCCATTTAGCTCTCCAGCCTGGATCAGAAGCACAGCCACATGTGAAACTCTTGCTCTGGCTCYCACTGCAACCTCCAAGTGCACAGCAAGGGCTCCTTCAGCTGGAACTAGACCAGCTGAGGGAATTTTGGAACACACAGAGACTGTATGGAACAGGATAAACTCTGGTGGAGCACAGGGTTTGTACCCAACAGTCCCACTGTGCTGATGGATCTGTGCCCACAGGAGCACACTGCTGGTCAATGCAGACGTGGGCACCTGCTTGGACTCCTGACATGGAATGTCCTCAAGGAACCAGCCACTTAATGGCTGATGGCACTCAGATTTCTATGAAATATTTGCTATTTCACATCCCCATCAACAGATTTGAATGACATCACACACCTATCCTATAGGATACCTATCCTATAGGATGCCTCTTCCAGCAATTTCATTTTGATTTCTTAAGCTGYCAGCTTTCAAGAACTGCTGAGGAAATGAACCTTATTTTCCTTGGGGCTGCATTTTAGGGGGTTCTGTGTGCAACTCTGACCCCAGTATTGCCCACACTCCAGACCAAGTTGAACCTTCACATCTTGGCAGGGCTTGAGGAAGTCAGCTCAACTCGCCAGACATAAGAGCACATTTAGGCCTGCCATTTATGATTAAAATAAGTAAATAACTCCAGCTCCAGGAAACAAAAATGCCCTTGGCAAATACAGATAGTGAAGAAGAAGTAATTTGAATACARCATAAGAGAATTGGATATCGTGGGGTTTTTTTAAGCTTACACATATATTCTGCTGCTAAAGGGGAAAAAATTTGAATATTTAAAGCAAAACTTGGAAGTTTGATTTGTAATAACACTATGCTCCTACAATGATCAGTAAATAAAATTGACCACAAAAAAAMCAGAAACATTTGTACAAGAGGGARAAGAAGAAATATGYAGTTTTAGAGCCTGACAACAGCTGGWTGATTTCAATAATGTAAMATATTTTTAAAGGTTAAGCAYTCACKATGACACAAAGTTTCCAGGCCATCTCTTGTGTTGCTTTAAAGTGATATTATTTAACCGTTTCCAAAAAAATCCTAAACAATATAAACTAAAATTTTTGACTGAAAATGTTAATTAAATGCTAGTATTTGCACATGTAACTGAGAAAATAGGGGTCATGGAGGTGCTACAGAGGCATGGATACATTCTCAYTGCTTGGATCCCTGAACAAAGCCCCACACCAGCACATCAGACTCACGTGTTTGGCAGAGAACTCATCAACCTCCCGAAGAGCCTTCTCCTGGCACTCTGGGTTGGTGGCCAGCAGGTAGGTGGCAAAGGACAGCGTGCTCGTGGTGGTCTCGTAGCCAGCRATCAGGAACAGGAAAGCTTGGCCTGCAATCTCATCCTCTGTTAGCATTTTCTGAGCCTTTGGAGACGGGGCCCCACCAGGAAGAGGCTCCTCAGTGTGTCTGGGAGCAGCAGAGGGGCTGAGCACATCCGAGCACTCGGCTGAGCCGCGCRAGTCGAGCATCCACTGCAGAAAATCTCGGCGCCTCTGCGGAACACAGGGGAGAGGAACGTGAGGAACGGGGCACAGAGCAATGCCTTCCACAGGGGATGGATGGAGAGAGRTGCTTCCCACCTATAGTGCACACTTGGCTCCCACAGAATGGCCATAAATCTTTCATCCACTGATGAGATTTCCATAAATCAGCTGGAAATGCTGTAACTGAGAGCCTACCATTGCTTTCTTCCCAGTGAGATGGGACTGACCTGCCCTCAGTTCTTAACAGATACATATCTTCACAGAGGATTGCTGGTGACCAGCTCTGTACAGAGCTTCTTTCATTCTTTAGGGCAAGTTCTTGGCACTTGCTGGAAATCAGAGRACTGACAAAGACACTGTAAATCCAGASCCCRTGTGCCCCTGTCARTTGGAGGCAGCACAACTCAAGCCTRGAGGAGCTGGTCCATCCACTTGGATGCACCACCCTCATTTGTTCATATCATCCAAAGCATGGAAGTCACCACCTAAGCTCAGGGTTGCACCTACAAGACTTTCTATAACAGCTTAGCGTGACAAGACTGAAATCTAATCTTGGTAAACTGGGCCATCTTTTTATGAGAAATACAGTTATGAACACTTCTACCAACATAGCTTTCTTTTAAAAATCTTTTAAAAACACACTTGCAGAACTGTATTACAACAATAAGCATAACCCCTACCACAAAACCTGTTTGTGTGSTTTATCTTTGCAAAATGCCCACTGAATTATTCCAGTGTTATGAGATTTGCTTTCTTTCACACCAGTTTCTGACACAAAAGCTCGAATAAACAGACCTGTGGACAAGAGTGAGCTGACTCCAAACCAGTGCGGACAGCAAGCTTGATTAGGCTTTGAAATATAACCCAAAAGGCTTGAATTGACTTTTGTGAGTGGGCATAATAGAATTGTGCTGAACCTAAGCCATAAGGCTGTGTGATTGATTTTCAATTCCTCAAATACCAACAGAATACATGATAGCTCAAGGACTTAGAAGTGACTGCAGTGCCAGAACATGACAWCTTGTGCAGTGGGATGGACAAAAGAAGGGACCAAGCTTTCTTTCAAAAGAAAAGAATATGCTGTAAAACTRCATTTATCTGTTAAAAATAAATCATTTGAATGTTTTCTTGGATCTGATGATTGAGAGATAAAGTAGAAAAAAGAAGGGCCAGAGAAAAGGCAAACAAGATAAGAGTAAGGAAAAACTAATTAATTATAAATGTCAAACAACTTAATCAGATAATTTCTTTTTCACATGACATGGGAAAAGAGAGCAGTGAGACAACAAAACAGGAGAAATACTCAGTGTCCTGTGCTTAGCTGTGCTGCCAACAAACTGTTCTGATCGATCCACAGGCAGAGAGGAATGGTTATTTTGGGGTTTGTGTAACACGAGGGATTGGCACACTGCCTTTTGAACAGCTCCTTCCCTCCACCCCACAGAACCTTTCCATCATGTGCCTTGTAYCCATGAGCATCTTGCACCCTGGTACACCCAAAAATCAATGCTCCAGAKAGCAGCCAGTGCCAGTCACTGCCTGCTGAAGGACTTTACATGTTCACCAGTCAGACTGAATCTCCTCTAAGGCACAGGAGATGTGAACTTCCACCAGTAGGAGAAGCCACAGAAAACAATGTCATAAACATTGAGCTCTGCAATTGAGCTGCAGCTCTGAAAATACTTCCTGCTACCCAGACTTAGGCACAATTTCCACCAGCATGATAGGATACCTCGGCTCCATTATGTCCCTGTAGATTCATGCAGACTTCTGCTGTGAAGAGCTAAAAACCTCATTTAACTTTTCCAGGAAGGGCTTTATTCACACCCTGGGAGTTCATGTATTGCACAACTCAGAGTACAACTCTTTGGCATAGTCTGCGCTTCAGGGATTTCCCTGGCACATATATTTGTGTCGGGCCATTTTTAAAATTAAAAAAAAACAAAACAACAACAACAAAACCCCCCAAAAAACCAACCAAAATAAAACAACCAAGAGAGTCCAGTTCCAGTGTGTTCATTAGAGTGTAGATAAACTAATTCAATGTAGTAATAAACCACATCTGTGGAGATAAGTCTCTTTATCTGCAAGACTAGTCACCATCACCTAAACTACCTTTATAACATAAAAATCTATCATTATATTGATTTTCAGTGGAATTGCAACACTGCAGCATCCTGTAGCTYGAAAGGTGTTAACACTTGCTATGGTTCTGCATCCATCCTTCTCTAGCTGTGAATTTTCTTGTAAACAAACCCATTGCACTGGGAGGGTTTGCTGTTCCCAGTCATGAGCTGTTAGACGAGCCTGGTCTTATATTTAGACAATACACTCTCTGGAGACCCTGTAAGATGTTTCTCCAGCCTTAAACAAAATCAGGTCCTGGCCTCATACAAAGCATTGGGTTATTGCTGTGATAGCAAAGTAATAATCATAATGACTAGTGAATAAAATTTCATTCATGAGAATTTTTGCTGAAAGCAAACTTAATGAATACTAGCACAAGTGAATATTCCCAGGAATGTGCTCTGAAATGCCTCTGTGGCCATTTTGAGGAGCTCTTTTTATTACTCACGTAATATATTTGGTTAGGAATTTAAAAGCTTGTCTTGTTGCAGAATCTGTTTTTAAGGTCATCCTATTGAGAAATGACTGGATACCTGATCTGTGYCTTGCAATTTGCTCACAGGTGAGCAGGGGTTGCTGAGAGCAATGGCTTCATAATCAAACCTTGCAAAAACAACATTCATTTGTAAAAACTACTTGAATAATAGCAGGGGGAAAAAAAGCATAACATTAGATAGAAGCGAGTTTTTTTTTTCCAAGATAATTCTACACGGTGGAAGGAGCAATATTTTAGCAAAGCTTCTCTTCCTTCTGCTTCATTCTACTTCACTTTAGGCATCAGTATAGAGTGCCACATAAAAAATTGTCATCAACCCAAGCGAGAGAAGAGATTTCCAGGGTTATAACAAGTCATAATGAAACATATTTTTTTCCGCACCATCAGGATGGAAAAATTGCTCTGATTCCAAACCCTAACAATGGCAATAGAGGCAAATACTAGCATAAACYCAAATATAATTGAATTGTTAAGTGCTAGAAATAAGGAAAAAGGCATCTCATGACAATTCACAGGGGCTATTTCTCCACTTCAGTTGACAGCAGAAGGAAAAAAAAATATATTAAAAAAGGTATTTTTTTCAGTTTGACAACAGACCAGGTACTTAGAGAGCCACTGCACAAAAACATTCTTTGGTCATCACATCCAGCTGCTGGCTTCCTTTTTCCATCGGGGACATTTTGTTTGATTTTCCTCACAAAAAGCAGAAACCCATAATAGCCTCCATCCTGTCCTCTGACACTTACATAGTTACATTACAATGGCCACGAAACAAATTCCTGCCACAAAAGAATGGTGTGCCAAAGCGAGGGACTCTTGATTTGCCCCCGTGCAACGCAGAGCCTGTCATTAATCTGATGATAATTGAACGGAAAGCTACGATTTGAGAAAAAAAAAATCGAGAATTCGAATGCAGCGTGGGAGGGGGTACATGTCTAACTTGGTGGTGACACAGACATCCCCTTTGAAATATATAATAAGACAAGCCCCGCTCACAGCCTGCCYGAGATAGACACCTTGCAATATATTTCCTGACACCGGTGTTCTGGGCCGTATCATTCCTCTCATTAGGCTCCTTAAACATCACCTGGCCATGCAGAGAAATGGCTCAGCACGGAGGCGTAACGAGAGATGTGCTCCGTGCTGGGGAAGGCCAGGCCGCCAGAACCCAGCTCCCCTCCTCGAATCGCCGCTTTTAACTTTCGCAGCTGTCACAAGGAGAGAGATGTAGCGCTCACAAGAGAGATGCAGCGTGACTTTCCTCGCAGGAGGCGAGGTCCTGGGGGTGGGGGATGGCTCCAGCTCCCTCCATCCTGAACAGGGAGTTGTGTGTTTGTACCTAAGATGAACATGCCAACTGACCTTCTGAAAAATTCACCATGCTTTGACCCTTGGGTCATGCTTTTGGTAGTGATGCCTTAGGATTTTTTTAGCTTCTATTATTTTCACATATCTGTATTCTTGTCCTTCTCTAGTGTGAAGCAYTAAAGCTGCTGTTGTCCCATCTTTAGACAAAACAATTCCTCTCTGAGCCTGAAATCCTTGGATTCACAGCCTCAGAGCCCCAAAATATGGAAACAACAGTGAATTGGGGGAGGAAKATTGGGGTGGTTGACATCATCACCTGAARGTGTCATTGGAGAATTGGGGCCCCATATGATAATAGGACAGAACTTACAAAAGGTGAAGATCTCGTGACTAGGGGTCCATTTTGGGTGTAGCCTCAGGAGGAGGCTTTGTCTGCCCTTAATGCACCAGCAGGCCTGGGTTAAATTTCTGTGCTTTTATTCTCTTAACTTTGTCTGGCCTCTGTTCAGGTGAGCCCTGTCTTAGTCATCAGTAGAGATTAACTCCTTCGCAAGCTGAAATAAAAAAAATACTTAAGGAAAGCTACCAAATATACATCAGTTTGAATTTTAGTTCTTAATGCTTTGATTTCAATCATGTTCTCTGCAAATTATACTCAAATTTTGCACAACTCGGATAGTTCAGATCTCTAATTTGAGTTCAAAAGAGCCCAGAAACACAAAAATCTACTTTATGATGCATCAAGGAATCAAAATAAATGACATAATTGGTCAGTAGTCTGTAAAGCACTTGCTGTGATGTGAAAGTCACACAAACGTGGTGCTGCAAACACAATACCACACACAACAAACTGTACCCCAGGAGGGTACAGACCCTCCTGGTCTTCCTCAGATGCTCTGATGGAAGCTCAAAAAGACAGATTTCAGAATCCTTATCTAGCAGGTAGAAAGCTCACATCCCATATTATTTCAGCAAACTTGTACAAACACAGCTCTATCAATGCATGTCCAAGCCACTTTTTATAAGCTTGTTTTGGCAACCACCCTTTTAGGTGAGACAAACCCGTGCCACCATGAAG